GATCATGTCTTTCTTTTATATCTGTCTTTTCTGTGTCTTACTTGTTGGTAGGCTAATCTTTGAAATGCTTTATATGTTTACCTTTGAAGTTTTGGTGTATAATGCACCTCAAATTACTTTTATGTGTAGTGTTAGGGAGAATAACATTGTCGGCCTCCCCCACCTCCATATGAAAGTCCATTAATTGAAATGATTTATTTTCCTCTATTGAACTGCTTTTATTGAAGACCCATTTATTGACCATCTAGCTGTGGATCAGTTTCAGGTCTCTTAACTCAGTCTGTTTATCTATTTGTCACTCCTGATGCCTTGTCTATAATAGCTTATAGGAAGCCTTAAAGTCTGATGGTACAAGTCCTTGTTCTTTTTCACACATTGCAATAAATTTTGAAATAGGTAATAACTCATAAAACCATCACGCACACCAGGATATGCTGTCACTTCATCCCTTTCTGATATGGTGTGGCTGTGCCCTCACCCAAATCTCCGCTTGAATTGTATATCCCAGAATTCCCATGTGTTGTGGGAGGGACCTAGGAGGAGGTAATTGAATCATAGGGGTGGGTCTCTCCAGTGCTATTCTCCTGGTAGTGAATAAGTCTCACTATTTGATGGGTTTATCAGGGGTTTCTGTTTTTGCTGCTTCCTCATTTTCTCGTGCTGCTGCCATGTAAGAAGTGCCTTTTGCCTCCCGCCATGATTCTGAGGCCTCCCCAGCCATGTGGAAAGTAAGTCCAATTAAAGCTCTTTTTCTTCCCAGACTGGTATGATTTGTCAGCAGTGTGAAAACGGACTAATACACTCTCATTTCAGAGTCGGACCCATGCTCCCACTCACGTATACTGGTTGCTGACTTGTGACAGAAGATTCTCTATTGTACCTTCTGGGGACAATACATCTCCAGTTGTCTGCTGGGAGGATGAACACGCAAAAAATCCACAACACTCAGCGCAGAGTGTGGATTTAATCCCATTAGTCTGAATGGGACTAATGCCCTTATAAAAGGGACCCCGGGGAGCTCTCTCACCCTCTTTCTGCCCCCTGAGGATACAATGAGAAGGTGGCAGTCTACAGAAAAAAAGTCCCACACCATAACCCTACCATGTGGGCACCTTGATGTCAGACCAACCTCCAGAACTGTGAGAAATAAATTTCTGTTGTGAATTAGTCACCCAGTTTAGGGTACATTGTTATAGAAGGCTGAACTAACACAGAGGTGGAATCCCATGGAGGGTCTCTAATTTGCTAAGCTAGTCATTAGGCAGGATGTTGAAAGTTAGAAACAGGAAGAGCTGACATTTTGTGCATATGAAAGAAGATAGTGGACAGGCCCATTGTGTCGACTTTGTCCGCTTTGGCAAACTGGAGACAGAAACTCGATTCACCTTCGCCAGCCACGGGAGGACCCGAGGACCTCCCGAGGAGGTTAGGTCGACTTCCTGGTAACTTTAGACCCTGAAACCACACAGGATTTTTCTTGTCCTCCCTGTGATCTTTCTTCCGCCTACCCAACATGACAGGACAAGACGCCGCCTTTCTTTCCCGTCAGAAAAGGGAAAGGACCGAAGTGAACAGCCGGTTTCCCCTACGTGTCCTTCCGGGCCTGGGCGTCTCGGGAGCTCAGGCTGACCCGAGACCTAACTCCTGGCGAGTGGGACCAACAGGAGCCTGGAAGAGCGCGCGCACCGGGGTGGAGGTTGGGCGCCGAGGGTCGAGAACCGCAGTCAAACCCTGTTCTTCCCCGCGCACCGCGCCCCTGCCCCCGGGGATGCCGAAGGAAGTGGCCCATAAAACTTCTCTGCAGCGGAAAGAGGCCTGAAGCTTCAAGACGGGCGAGAGGAGCCTTGTTGAGCGAACCCAGCCCTCTGCCTGGCTGGCCCTGGTCAACAGGCTCGGAAGTGGCGGATTTGGAGGACAGAACGGAAGAAAAGACCTAAAGGTTTCGAATCTCATGATGTGGAGATGTTAAAAGCCTCCGATCCTAAGGTCGGACTGTGCCGGGGAGCGAGGGTGTCTCGAGCTGGATGGAGCCCTGAGCCTTCACCTGGAGAGTCCTCTGCACAAGTTCAGAGAGCACGGCAACCCGCAGCAATGGTTCTCAAGAGGAGGCAACTTCGCCCTTATACGCCTCTCCCATCCTCGCTGGGACACTAGGCCACGACTGGGGGAAGCGGGGAGGGACAATGTTAACCCCCGGCTTGTATCTAGTCAGCCGAGGGACGGATGCTGCTAAACACCTTACAATCCACCGCGGGAGGGCCCCTCCCCCGCCCCGAAGTAGCCATTCGGCAGAGGAGGAGAAACTCGCGTGTAGATCAATGCCCACGCACTTGGCCGATGGGAACTCACGAATGGGTGACCAGTTGGATCTCGGATCTGAGGATAAAACTCCAGCTCAGAGGGAACTCCGGAAGTTTTGTCCGGAGCAAACGCAAGGGTGGCGTTGCCTTCGCCGAAGATGGGAATATGGCAGGTGTCACAGGTTACAGCGGAAGGTCGGAGACCAGCTGAGGGCCCCGGAGCCTTCCTGGAAAGACTTTCCCATCCAGCCCGTCTCGGTTTCCGCATCCGTCGGGTTCCTTATGATGTTGAGGGTGCCGGGGTCTGGGTCCTTTATGATGCAGAGGGTGCCCCTGTCTTACCCCCGGCGCCTCCCGGTTCCCCCCGGCTCCCGCCGCCTCCTGGCAATCTGGTGCGCAGCTCCGGACCTGGCGACCCGCGACCGTCTGGTCATTTACTGCTTCCTCGCAAAGGCGCATCTCTAGTTCAGTGGTGAGCTGCGGCCGGGTCGCTGCAACTCGCTGCAGGACTTGGGACTCCTAGCCTTGGTGTCCCTCTCGGAGCCCTCGGTGTGTCGCCTGCAGGCTCTCTGTTTTGGAGAAAGCAGGGAGGGAAGAGCCTTGTGAGACGACTCCAGGAGCAAAGAGCGACCCTCACAAGGCCCAAGTCCTCCCAAAGCACAGGGAAACTGTGGCTTCAGAGCAAAGAAGAGAGAGCAAGGCGCTTCCCATATGTCCCTGGTGGTCTAGTGGCTAGGATTCGGCGCTTTCACCGCCGCGGCCCGGGTTCGATTCCCGGTCAGGGAATTGTTTTGCACTGGCCGCCCTCCCGCAGAAATGTTACTTGACTACACTCTCAGCTCCAAGGGCCGGATGCAGAGCCCTTTCCGCAGCGAGGGGCAAACCCGGGCGAAGAAGCGCAAGTCCTGGTAGACCACCTCTCGGGACACACCACCCCTATTTATCTCCGTGTCCGTCATCCGCAGAAGCGGCTTTAGAAAGCGACTGAGCGTCTCGCTCAAGTGTACACAGCCGTTCAGAGATGCCAGCCCCCATGGAGCTGCACCCAATAAGCCCTGTTTCTTTGCCGTAGCCGCTCTGGAGGCGCCTATCGGGCTGTGCTGCGAATAACTAAGAGAGAGGCCAAGCGAAGTCTGGGGTTTGTGCAAGCCCTGGACACGGGCACCGGCCAGTCAGCGGAGCCTCCTCACCTTCATTCGCAGCTAACGTGCTCGTTAGGCCTTCGGAAGAGGCGACCGGAGGCGATGCCCGCGAAGTTGGGAGGCGGGTGAGTGGCGGGTGAGCGGCGGGTGAGGGCCTCGAGGGCGGTCCGGTTTGCTGATTGAGCGGTAGAGGGAGGCGATGTTCGCTGACCCGACAACGACAGCAGGTGGAGTAGGCACAAATGGAAAACTGTTGCCGGTGCCCTAAGCAGAAGGCAGGTGTAGAAATCAGCACTAGGACGTCGAAGCAATGGTAAAACAGTCAAATCCCACAATGTCTACACTCTACCAAGAACTTGCGCACGCTCCCCCTTTTCCATTCAGTGCTCTCAAGAGGGGTTCGGAGAACCCCGCGTCCACTGTAAGCTCAGGGGGAAGCGGGAGCCAGGGAGGTGAAGTGCACAGACTGGGCAGAGGCGGCCGGCAGAACCGCGGGGGTGAGAGGGCGCGGTGGCTGCGGGGCGGGAGCCGCTGCTGAAAGGCGGCCTGGGTTGTCGTGTGGAATCTGTCGGTGGAATCCTGGGCGGAGAGTGGTTTGGAAGAATGGCGAGGAGCGGCAGTGGGGAAGGTGGTGACCCTGAGCGTCCGGCCCGGGCGAGGGGGCTGTGCTGTCCCGGCAGGGCATGGGCTAATTCCCACTTACCTGGCGGGGGAGAGACCGTGGTCACGAAGGGGGTTCT